CGGGTCCCGCGTCATCGCGACGCGTAATGAGGTCAATAACGCAGCGAGCAGCGTGCAGGCGTCCTCGAGAGCACGAAGGATGGCGCAACAACGACAGGAACGTCGGCAAACACAATGTGCTGGTGGCGTCAGAAGCCAGCGACGCTGGTGCACCGCGACGCCGCTAAAGAACAGCCGCAGCGTTCGATCGAAATTCGTGTTTCGTTCGTACACGCTAAGCTCGTTCGACCAGAATTCCGCTCGTTCGAATTCGTTTCGTCTGTTTATTGAACCACGTCGAGTATATTGGAACCGTTTGTTAAAAATCATTTACTATATTCGTTGGGATTGGTTTCAATTTTGAGGAAAGTTGGAAACTACGCACTGGATAAAGTATGGTACTGTTCGATAATGGAAGAGTGAATTGAAAATGGAAATATTATAATATAAGAATCAGTACCTTTGTTTAAATAATTTTGGTCAGAAATGACCAACGATCAACAGTTTTTTTGATATCGGTAATTATCAGATTACTGGTTACGACTATGGAAACGGATAGAAGTATCTTTAGAATAATAGAAACTGGAATATCGCCATGTTGTTACTTCTTTGCTTGGTTATGCACGTTACAGATTTTGTTTTTCCTGGTTCAAACAGTACATAAGTAAAAGTCGTTTGTTTCGCCGTAAAACTGTCCGATAGTGAAAAATTATTGCCATCGTGTAACATTTGTTACGTCAAACCAATTTGTGTGTTATACGCTTGGATGCACAGGCACACGAGCGCGACATTACCGGTGTTGTCACGTTGGAACTAACTTTGCACAATTCCAGTGAGCCAGAGTTACGCGGTTCGGTTTAATCGTAGAGCAGTAACTTCGGTTCGAGTCGTTTGACTTCGAGATTAGTCGAAAACTCAACAGCTTCGTTCACGAGAACAGACTATTTGTCTTTGCACGCGGTGGCCCGTAAGTTTTTAATCGGCGGCAACAAGAATTACTCTAGCGAGTCCAGAAGAGAGTGCAATTTTAATAACTCGTAATCCGATATTCAACGATCGGCGAGTTAAACAACTATCAAAGATATTAAAACACGTAATTTTTTCGAGTTCTCGATGAACGAAGAAACTCGGATGCCAAGTTGCATCGTGTAGCCTGTCGCTGCTTGATTCATTAATAATCGACTAACTGTTGATATCAATAGTGGCCGGGACGACAAAAGAACAATCGGAATATCGAAGACCGCGTACGATCGTTACTCATCGCTGATTCGTCGTGCCGCGCCAAAAGCAATTTGAATATTTTTCTATCCGTCGTGTTTCCAACAAGGACAAAGCACGCGAAATTCCGCCACTCGGTGGGAATTTATTCTCGCACGTCCGCGCTCTATGCGCAACGAGATCGCCGCCGGGATCCTATGCAGATGTATGCTACGAGCGTACGATACGCGGCGTGCAAACGATGGAACGAACAGCTCGAAATAAAAACCTTGTTCGAAAAGGAAGGGTCGGTGGAAAAACGGCATGAGGGAGATAGAGGAAAGAGTAGAGACGGTAATAAACCATAAGTGTGGCTGCATTAAAATCGCAAAATTGAAAAATACAGCGCGCTTCATCGCGCCTGGCGTCTTTATTTCTTCAGGTGCAACAAAAATTCTCTTCTTTGAAAGTACGTTTACTCTGCCCTCGTCGCTCCTACCACTTTCGCCACGTTGCTGCTCTCTTTAGCTTTTCACTCTTCTCTCTACTTTCTCCCTACATGGCCGCAGCATGACTGTAAAATTTAAATCAACGCCGGTTGCTCTTTCGTCGCCAATAACCTCGCCGCTTTTTTCCGCGAGCCCATGAAATATTTGAACACGCTAGCGTTGCTTCGTCGCGGGCTGAATAGTTTATAAATATTGATTGAACTGGGAGGTTTTGACGTGGAGACCGCGCTAAACGCTGAACAGTATGACAAATTAATCTGTCCGAAGGAAATGATTTTTTGTCCCTTTTGGCGTTCAGCTTTCTGGTTAACCGAAGTGAAAACTTTTTCTAATGATCCGCTCTCTCGTTGAAGGAACCAAACAAATTACACGAAGCTCGTCATTTGTGAGTCCAGTCCCCCCCCCCC